CTGCCGGATTGGAACACTTTGTCATATATATGAATATAGCTGCCCCTGGAATTATCAATCAGAAATAAAGTTCTTGTATAATATTTGTTGTTAAGCTATACTCCTATCATAAGAGCAGAGATCATTAATATTTGAAAACTATATTTGATTATTGATTTCCAAGTTGTACCGTGCTCTTTATATGTATATGAGAAAAGACGTGTCAACAACAACGGATCAAGTATAGTATCATATATGTCTATAGAAATGCTCATTTTTGTATAGCAAAGGTTTCTGTTTTAGACACATTCAGCAATTACGAGCTCCACAATTCTCACAAGTGTATTCAATCTTCTTGTTTTTTGTTTTCTTTTTACTTGAAAGTGCGAAGTCTTCTGCTAGGAAACGAGTAAGTAAGTGTAAATGACGCTATTTACGATCGTTGTGCGAAGCTTATTATACATAATTTGCGGTTCTTTCTGTTATATCACATATTTTCAAATCGAGTGCTTAGCTATCTGCTAGCCACTGTGCAATTGCACCTGGCTAAGGTGGGTATAAATACCGTCAACAAGTTCTCAACGCTTCTCATTCGAACGGAAGCTGCGACTGCGTTTAATGCTAGCCGTACTATAATTAAATATACACTAACTATTTGCTGTCGGTACTTGTTGTGGGCAGTTAGAAATGGATGTTGACAGCGAAGAAACATCCGAAATGCAACATTTCTATAAAGACAAGACAATTTTTATAACTGGTGGCAGTGGCTTTTTGGGAAAAGGTATACACATATTAAAGTGAATCCAATATGTTTGTGAAGTGCAGTGAAACAATACCAAGCAGTTTTTAATTCAAATTCGAAAAGTGATCTTCGATTTAATAAGTATATATTTAAAAGCAATGATGTTCACATGGATTATGCATTTATCGAGAGTATGTTCAGTTCCACATTGGATATTGACAATTAGTTCGTAATTTGTCTCATTACGACAATAAAAAAGTTGGCTAACAGCAATAATTATTAATAGACTGTAAAACGGTTTAATGTTTGCTTTTACGTTAAAGGCATTTAAGCTTTGAACTCTGTGCTAAACGATTCGACGGTAAAAAATCCATGAATATTCAACGTAACTTGTGCATTCTGGGTGGTAACTATAGTTGAGGAACTTATTAAAATGATATATACATATGTCTATATATATATATATATTAATATTTCTTAAGATAATATGTCAATAGCAAAAGCTCTTGTTAAAACTTGTTTCTAAAGAGTAATATATTGAAAGACTAATGGGACAATAATTTATGGTTATGATAAGCAAGTGTGCTATTAAATTATATAAATGAATTTTATATGCTGTTATTTCACTCATCTATTGAGCGGCCCTCGCATAGTTGTGAACTTTTAGATCGTCTCAAGTTGTTTGACGAATCATTATTTTATTGATTCATAAATGCCTCTCGTTCTTAAATTCAATCCGATTGTATCTTAATTAAATGTTAAATTGCTCATAAATGAATGGAAAATAGAGTAGTAAAGTTCAACAAATGATTGAATCATAAACATTTCCTAGCCAACTTTTATTATTATGTGATATTGAATTTCCTGGTGCGCCTTTTAGTGATCATTGAGAAGCTGCTGCGTACAACAGATGTGAAACGGATCTATGCTCTGATCAGAGCCAAGCGTGGTCAGGATATGCTGGAGCGGCTAGCTAGTTGGAAGCAGGATGGCGTAAGTAACCCACAATACCAAACTAGAGCTTTTGGGGTAATGTAGATATATTCCCCATAAGGTATTTGAGTTGCTGCTCAAATCAAAACCCAATTGCTGGGAACGCATAACGCCCATTGCCGGAGACTGCCAGGAGCCGGATTTGGGCATTAGCCAAGCAGACCGTCAGCTATTGGTGGAGCGGGTGCAGTTGGTGGTGCACAGCGCGGCAACTGTGCGCTTCGTGGAGCCACTGCACTTGGCACTGGATATCAACACGCGTGCCACTCGCCTCATGCTGCAGCTGGCCAAGCAGATGCGTCACCTGGAAGCCTATGTGCATGTGTCTACGGCTTTCTCGAACTGCGTCATTCAGCGCATTAACGAGTGCTTCTATCCGGAACACTTGACCTGCAGCGCTGACACCGCCTTGGCTCTGAGAGAGCAGCTGAGCGATGAGCTGATAGACAACATGACGCCAGCCCTGCTTGGCAGGTTTCCCAATACGTACACCTACACAAAGGCGCTGGCGGAGCAGCTGGTCCTGACTGAAGCGGGAGATTTGCCCCTTTGCATCTTTCGGCCCGGCATTAGTAAGTAAACGATTCTGTGGGTATATGACCATGGCCTCATCATATTTTCAGTTATTGGCAGCTACAAGGAGCCCGTCTCAGGTTGGATCGACAATATCTACGGTCCCATCGCGATACTACTTGGCACTGCATGCGGAATTCTAAGGATTGTTCGCGTTAACGTTCAGTCGCAGGCCAACATGGTGCCCGTTGACTACTGCGCCAACCTGACCCTGGCTAGCGCTGTGCAAACGGCTAAGGAAGAGGCCACACGTAAAGGGAAATCTATTGCAGCAGCTGCGCCGGCTCCGCCCATCTACAATTTTGTGCCCAGCGATCTCAACTTGTTAACCTGGGGAGATTTTAAGCGAAAAGCGGAAAGCCTGGGCCATCTGTACCCGTTGACCAAAATGATATGGCTGCCGTTCCTGCATACCACAACCACACCCTGGCTCTTTAAGCTGGTTGCTTTCTTCTATCACATTCTGCCCGGCTACTTCATCGATGTGGTATTGCGCCTGAGAGGCCGAAGACCACGCATGCTTAAGCTGTACGAGAAAATACACAAGAATGTTGATGTCCTGTCGCCGTTTGTGGACTCCAACTGGTATTTCGAGACGCGCAATACGCAACAGTTGTGGCAGCGCTTGTCGCCACAGGATCAACAGCTGTTTGAGTTCGATATGAGCAGTCTGGATTGGGATGATTACTTCTATTGCGCCTTAGGCGGCATGCGCATCTATCTGGCCAAGGAGGAGCCCGGCATTGAGTCGCTGAAGCGGGGCAAAAGGAAACTGATACGGTATGTCCTGGAGTTTTCTAAACCTTGTCTCAATTGAAATTAATTTACTTTTCTTTTTCACAGCTTTTACATACTCCACCGGCTCCTGCAGTTCGTGCTTTGCAGTGGAGCGGCTGCCATTTTGTGGTCGCTGCTTAAACTCTTAGTTAGGTTCTAGGCTCTAGTAATGTTTTATAAAACTAGTTAAATAAATAGTTGGCTAAATATAGAAAGACACACTCACTGCCAGTGGCAAGTCCTGCACAGGATAACGTTGGACACGCCAGCCAAATGGCGGCTATTAAACAGAGCGCTGAGCACAACATTTGGACTAGTCGACAGCTTCAAACAGACTAAGCATTGACAGTCAAAGACATCGAGGCATCTGGCAGTTGTCCCGCCAGTTGCCCCACCCCCTGGCTCCCCAGTCAATTGGCCACATCCGCTGCCGGGGGCGCTGCCATCCGCCCGGCACACAGATTGACAGGCGGAAGCTGGCAGCATTTGCGGCAATTGCGACGCCAGCGAAGAAGTTTGCCGCCATTTGGTGGCGATTAGCATAATTCGATTGAGTCCTTAGGTTCGAGTCAGAATCTATAGCTAATTTATGGGGCGCCAACTTACGATTTGGGCGTCCGGGGCCAGCATCCTTCTTCTTCGCCTCCTCCTCCTGCACACTGTTTGCCTTGGCGGGCGGCTGCTTCAATGCTATGCTAGCTGCCTCGAGTATGGGCGCCATAGGCATCGCCTGCTGCTCATTGGGCACAAACTTGTATTTGCCCCGGAATCCTTTGGCGGTGCGATTTGAGCTGGCATTAAACTCGAGCAGCAGATCTGGGCCGCTGCTTAGTATGCGGCGCGTGGGACATGGAGTGCATAGCACATCAATAACGGCGTTCATATGCGCCGATTCTGCATCAAAAATGGTGAGTGCGTCCAGTTGGCAGCCGCCACTGACCACCGGCGGCAGCTGCAGCTCCTCGAAGAGCAGCTCCACGCGGCTGTCGGGACGCCCGATGAACTTGTAGGCGCATTTGATGTGCGCCGGATAATGGGCCGGGAAGCGCGGTGAGTGAAAGTAGCCCTGGCCCAGATTGCCTTCAGTTCCGGTGCTGGCAAAGAAATAAAAATCACAGAAGCTGTGCGGCACCAGGCGTCCGTTCGTCTTGAAGAGCTCTGCATGAATAAAACGGGCCATGAACACAATGTGTACTAATTTGTTAATTGGGTCCACGTTTGCTCACCTTGCTTTAGGAATCGATATGTCGCCGTCAGATTCAACGGCCAGTCGGCCAACTTTGTGGGCGGCTGCCGAAAGCTTAGTCGCAGTCCAAGCAGCTTGCCGGCGCTATAAATAGGCGTGGCATTGCGTGACATCGTGCTGTGCTGGCACCAGGTAAACGCCGACAGCGTCGAGTTCTCGATGACGGGCTCGCGCAGATACGGAAAGACCTCCACGGTGTCCAAGCAGCTGTCACAAAATTGCATTTTTTTTAAAAAAAATTTGCAGCGCATTGCTAATCATATTGCAAAATGGCCGAAATGGCCGGAATCTAATGATGTTGAAAATTTATTGGCCGATACCCGTGGGGCTGGCCGCTTGGCCGGCTCGTTGGTCAGCCTAAAAATAGGCAAGCGGCCAGCGAGCTGCCATTAAATAAAATGTTGCATTTCTCTTTTTGGTTACGCGCCATTTATTTTGATAAAAAGTCTAACAAAAGTTGGCGTTAAGGTTAACACAACCGATGCTCACAAAATGGCCACAAATTGGTGCAAAAACAAATGTGCGGTAGTTGTTCTGAGAGGCTAGAAATGTGAGCTAATGCAACTAGGATTGGATAAATTCAAGGCAATTAAAAACGTAATTTTTAAATTTATTAATTCTCCTCATTTTAACAAAGAAATATTTATGATAGGAAAAAACAAACAAAAAATTTGCAACTATTAAAATTGGAGCAAACATTTTCTAGAGGATATATAAAGTTATTTCGAAATACAATAAAATAATGGTATATTCTAAAAGCTATACTATAGAAACTTGATGAAATTGAGTTAAATTCTTGCAACATTTCAGTTTGTAACTTTGCTTTTATAGTTGGTTTTTTCTTGCTTCACATCGCCTTCAGCTGCTAGTTCTTGCGTTTGCGCATCCCACCGAGCATGCGACAGAATGCAGGATAATCAATCATGGGCGGCTCTTCCAGTGTCTTGGGCTTGGCCATGGGCGCATGGCTGAGCGCCTCCTTTGCCTCACTGATGGTCATTTTGTCGCCATAGTTGGTCAACTCCTCATAGATTCTATTGTGTGGGAAAGTGTTTGCTATTAGAGCCATTTAATATGGTATTTGACGCAGTGCACCCACTTTCTTTCATCGATCTTGCCCGTGCCGTAATCATCCCACTTGCTCCAGGCCTCGAGCAGCACTTCCTCCGGATCCAGCTCTATGGTGCGACGACACATAAGCTGCACAAAGGCCTCATAGTCCAGAGGCTCGTGCGCTTCCTGCATCATTTGCTCCAGCAGCTGCTCGTTGGGTTCATTGCCGAGCGCCGTGTAGGTGAACCGCAGGTCCTCTTTGGATATCAGCCCGTCGCAGTCCGTGTCGAAGAGCGTGAATACCTTTTGAAAATCCGCGCAATCAACAGCATTTAGGCTAGTCTTCTAACCAACACTTACTTCCTTCAACTCCGCCAGCTTGGCAATATCCAGGTCCTTCGACGATACGTGATCATCGGCGCTTAGCTTCTCGGGCAGTCGGTAATGGCCTGTGCTCTCCGGCAGCTTAAGCCTGGGATTGAATATCTCGTTGATTACGGCCATCGCCTCTGAGTCCGTTCCTAGTTGCGGCGGTGGCTGCGGCGTCTGCGAAGCTTTCCGCACTGAGCTGGCTCGACGACGCCGCTGAACAGACATGGATGATGTTACCATTAATCACGGCCTGGCCTTTTACGGCTATGTTACGTTCACTCACACGTTCCAGATCTTCCAGTGAAACCGAAGGATCCATCGACATTTTGAACAGCGCGATTCACCAGGGATTCGGATTCACAAGCGTTTTACAAGCAATTCACAAGCGTTTCACGCGCGACTCACACGCGATTTACTAGCGATATTTCACTTTTCCACCAATAAACTTGTCGCGACGACAGCGGCCAACGTTGTGCTCAACGCTCTGCCCAAGCTCCACTGAAATTTGTGGCGCCGGTGCTCAGCAATTTTATTGACAAATCGATTTTGAAATTTTTTTTTTATATTTTTTCTTTTTGCGTATTTTAATGCAGCTAAAATGCTGCAAATTTCAAATAAATTGACACAAATTTGCGGGCGCGTATACCATTTATATAAATAACCAGGCGTGCCGGGCACGGGCACGGCTCCACGGACCCCCCATATGAGCGGGCCAGGGTGGCCTTCACAAGGTATTTTAATTACATTGCATTCGCAATTTCCTCGATGGCCACTGCGTTTTGATGGCTGTCGCGCAGCTGCCAGTGGCCGACATATCCAGATCTCCGATCGATTTGGATTCGGTATGCGGCACGCCTGGCAGCGGGTGGCAGCCGCCTGCGACTGTACGGCAGTACGGCTGTACGGCTGGCTTACTATGACCGGAAGCATTGCTACTCACCCGGGGCGCAGCTGCAGCTGCTGTAGCTGAAAGGCCACCAGCTCGTCGGCCATGCCGCCAATGAAGATCATCAGACAGTTGTTTTTGGCGCCCAGCGCTTGGCTAGCATTTATGCTAAGGCTGCCCCATTGTGTGGCATTGCGCTCGTTGGCGTGCAGACAGGAGCAGTCTGTGAGTGGCCAACCATTAATTATGCATTCGAATCGACCATCTTCCAGCCGCCAGCATCTTACCTAGCCATAGCTGCGACTGTTTGTTGCCAGCCACGCGTTGACCACTGGCCAAAATCAGAGCGAGCACCAAAGTTAAACAAACGGCCGCCATCTCCAGCGGCCAAAGTGAAACTGCGAAGCGAGGTGCTAAGCGTCGCGATGTTATCCTGCCAGATGGCCACAGTCCTGCGGCTGCTTGTGTGCTTTAAAAATAACCGGGCGCCACCCTAACAGAGTCCGGCACAGTCCGGTGCCCCCTCACCTTTTTCCCTCGAATCGTGAAATTTAAGTTGAGGTTTTCATGAGGCTGCCTCCCCTGCTCCCCTGCTCCCATGCTGCAGGTGGCGCCAACGCCCAGGCGTTAGTTTCTGCCACCGTCCATGCCTGTGGCAGCAGCAGCAGCAGCAGCAACTGTGTCTTTGGTAAGCTATTTATAAGTGGATTTCATATTTTTATGATTGGCAGTTATCAGTGCGCTGGAAGGAGGCAGCAAATTGGTAACGATTCGCTTTTTTTTCTCGATCTGTTCCCAAAGAAACTCTAAGGCATTTTATTAACCCTTGAGGCAATTACTTTATCTAAAAACGCTCAGAAATTGGTCAAGTCTAACCCAATTTTGCTTAGTTTAATTTAGGATGAAATTAAAGCGAAAATATAAGAAAATAAATTGAAAATATTAGTCCTACTTCTAATTCTACTTCTGACTTAAATCTATCTATATCTATAATTGAATCGGTATCTGTATTTGTATCTATTGCTGTAGATATATTTATATGTATATATATCCCTATCTACTTATACTCTGTATCTGTATTTTTCTGTACAATTATTATTTATCATGTATCTATATATATCTAAAAGAGTTTGTCCTGACTGACTGACCAGATATATGCCTGCATCTACAGTATATGTATCATCTATGTATTTATATCTAGGACACACAAGTTTGAATTAACATTTTAAGCAAAACGCTAAATATTTATTTAGTACAACATGAGTATATGATGGTATTTGATAGATTATGTATATTTGTAGCTAATTAGGATCCACCTGTTTGGGTCATCTTCGCCCTGAACATGTCGGCCAACATGACCGCCTTGCTGGCATTGAGTTCTTCGTAATCATAGGGCGCCATATGCTCCTTGCAGCGATCTAGCCATTGCTTGACATATTTGTAGGGTCTTAGCTCAAATTCAAAGGCCTCCAGCTGGGAGACAGTAACGAGCAGTGTTAGGTCTGCAATTGTAAAATGTTCTGCGGCTGCATATTCCCGGCCCTCCAGTATTGCATTTAGCCAGCCGACGGCTTCGGTTAGTCTGGCGCGTTTGACCTCGTCCAGTGGGGCGCCAATGAACATTGTGGGAAACTGCAGGAGCAGGCAGATATGAGAAAATTACTAGGTCCACCGTTAGTTACTCACATAGAAGTCGGTGAGACGTTGATAGAGCGTGCCCAGATCAAAGTGTAGACGCTGATCCACCAGCGCTCGCACGCGTATATCCGTGGGATAGAGCTCGTCTGATTTGGCATAGGCGGCCACCAAATATGAGAGTATGGCGCGACTGCAAGGATACATGTAAGGATGGATTGGATTGCATCAATTGTGCAAAAGCAGCGCTCACCTTTCCCACAGCACCAGGCCCTGATCGTTCATTGTGGGCACGCAGTGCTGTGGATTCATGGCCACAAAGTCGGGCTTCAGCTGCTCCCCCTCCATTATGTTGACGATCTTCAGCTCAAAGTCCAGACCGAGCATTTTGGCCAACAGCAGAATACTGCGACATGGCGGACTCGGAGGCAGATAGTACAACACTGGCGTGGACATTTTGCCACCTCTGATAAGTAAGCAGTAGACAAATTCTGTTACAATTTGTTCGGTTCGGTTCATCAGTTACAACTAAAAAGCTATTCGAAAATTGGCCAGCAACACGTTGGCCACAAACCGTGCATACAGCAGAAAATCAATGCATCGATTTCAAATGTTTTATGAATGTAAATTGCTTCGAATTTTATACTAGCCTACGACAAGGTTACTTCTGAAGGTCAATCTCGAATTCGATGTTAATTTATGCAAAAACAGTTAAAGGCGATTGTTTAAGTTATGGGATACTAAGTTTTTTGTATAACTAGTTGAAAGAATATGAAAACAATCGCCTAGAATTTATTAATTAATCATTTACAAAAGTTTCCCAAGCCCAAGCCAGGCGTAATGCTTTACATCTGGTTCTAGCTGTCTTTGTTTTAATATAGTGATAAAAAATGCTAAAGTTAACCTAATCATATAATTAATAAACTTTTTAACAATATTCAACCAGCTGTAATCTGCCAGTCTTTAATTTAGCTCCCTTTCTCATTTATTTTAAGAAATGTTTGGTTTTATTTTTGACACTTGATCCATAAGGAAGGAAAAGACGATTAAGAGAGGCCTTCAAACATAAATACTAGGTATGTGACCGTCTGGCCATTGGCAGTTGGCCAATGAATGATTATCACGGACATATTAATTGCAGCCTTTTCGCCTCAATTAATTATCCATTATTGATATGGGAAAGCTGATGACCCACCTGCTGCATACTCACACAATCTTGTGCACCAGCTTGTGGTGCACTACGGCCACGGAGTCGATGTCTATGCAGTTCCCCAGTGTGCTTACGAGTGTCGAGCTCTACTGTCGCCTCGACGGAGCTGCTCCGGTCCTGGTCCACAATCTCGGCTGTGATGATGATGGTGATATAATCTCGCTGTGTGTTAACTTGTCGACGTGACTCCCTGTCGCCGCCTGCCTGTTTGAATTTTCAGAATTTTCATGTCATCGGTGGCTGCTTGCTGCTTTGTTTCATGCTTGTTTTGTTTTGCTATTTTCGTTTAGTTTTCATAGCGAGCGTTACCTGGACGACAACAGCGTCGCCTCGGCTAATGTGTGCTCACCTGAGTGGGTGTTTGGGGAGTGGGGCGGTTGAGCGGGCGCCGAGCTCTAGGATAGTAGCTTGATTGGGGGCGTCCGCCGAAACTCGGTCAGGATGTCGTGCTCGTGTTTTTTTATTTTTGCGTTCTAAATTAAGCCACTACATAATTTGTTGTAGCTACGTGTTTTATCTGGTATTGATTGCTGTAAGTCTTTCCAACTGAGTGCCGCTCAAAACTTGGTCGGGGTGGGCAGGCGAAACCCAGGCCCGAAACTGAAAGTGGGTATGCAGTAGCGTAAGTTTTAGCGCTTTCGTGGCCACTTAGAAACTAACTCGAGCTGTCGCCTTTTATTAGGCAAGGCGAAATGAAGAACCAACTGAAGACAAGCAGCCAAACAGGCACTAGGCACTCTATTTCGACTGCGACTGTAAAGCAAAAATTACCCAGGACTCTTGCTTAGCTACCTGTGCAGTTTTTGATGCAGGTAAGCCACTGACAATCCCTGTTTTGGAAAACTATCGAAAAATCCAAATACATTAGCCGTAAAATTCTTGGAAATTTCTACAATAATTGCAAAAGGGACAACGCCTTGGACAAGGATAACACAGGCCATTAAAATAGTCAAGGTATTCCTTGCCAGATCATGCCTATAAAGAGCATTGCCGCGCAAGTACCTTGAACAGTTGTCCGTGCAAGCGAAGTGAAACAAGTGCCTCAAGATGAGCTATAGAAATCAATTCAACATGTCGCTGCGCCTGATGCTGCTCCTCGTGATGTTGTTTGAGGTGCGCACGTTGCCGGCGCTGGACACTGCGCCCATTGCAACAGCCGCCAATACCATAGAGGAGTCTGATAAGCAGCCAGATGCGAACATAGAAACGAATGCATTAAGTGATGCCGGTTTGGTCAATGCCAATGGCACGAGCTTAGCGGCTACGAGCGCCACTGAAGCACAGGATCCAACAGTGGTGAGTAAAAGTAAGCAGCCCGAATAGACAAAGAGCTCACACAATACTATTACAGTCGGGTGACAATGTGGCCAGCGCCAGCAGCAATGAGCCGGTGTCCATCTATGCCAGCGGACTCATCACGCCCGAGGCCTTTCAGCAGTATCTGAACCAGTATGGTGGTGCAGCGGGCTTGGCACCGCTCGCGGCCTACCCAGCGCCGATGACAGGCGCTCCAGGTATCTATCCCTATCCGGGACCCATTATGGTGCAGACCGGCTACGAGGGCTTCTTGGTGCCCACAAATCAAGTTGGCTCCGATAGTGTTTCAGATGTGACCACAACGGTTGCAGCTGGGCCTTCGTCCCCCGCCTTGAACCCGTTGATGGCCTTTGCGTCCCGATTATTGCCCACCATACTGATGTCTACGCTGTTTCGCATTGCGGCCGTGGTGATCTCCGCCGTGGGTGTGATTCTCTTTGGAGGCGCCATTACCAACGCCCTCTGCCGGCTAACGCCCATCTGTGAGATTCCCAACAAGGCTGTGAACTATCTACGCTCTGGTGGAGCACAGGATGTGGGTCGCATGCTGGTCGAGGAAATGACGCCCGAACGCGTGCGACGAACCACGGAATTTGTGCGCAATGCCATTCACAAGTATCGCCAGCTGCAGAAGCTAATCGAACCGGAGCCGTACACGCAGTAGAAGTGGAAGCTTTATTGTCGTTAACTGGAGAACGTGATGAAATTTGATGTAAATTGTAGTAATTGCTTGCATACCAAGGAGAATTGAAATACATATATATTTTTAATTTTAGTCGAAATTGTTTCAATATTTTATATTTATATTTATATTATTGGTCCTCACTGGGTCACATAAACGACAACTACGAAGATCAAATTTGACCTAACGCTTCCATTTGGGTGGAAAATAAGCACTAAGACTTAAAAAAAAACACTTAAAGCTTGTACGAAAAACGTCAAAAACAACTGAGCCAAATATGTAGGTGTCTGACAAGCGAAAAGTCGTGTTCAACTTCACCAGAAATTTTTAACTTTTATATGTGTGTTTATCCTTCATAGAGAAAAAAGCAAAGCGGGTTATTTAGAAACAATAACAATATGGAACATTGTTGGGAGCTAGCAATAATAATTAAGATTCTTTTGTTTTAATTGATTTGTCAACTACATTGATGTCATGTTTTTTGCTCACAGTCAGTCGTTCGAGTAGTTTAGTTGGATAAACATTGGCAAAATGGGAACAAAGTTTAAGATTCGAGGTCCCGAGAAGACGAAAGAATATAGAAAGAAAGAGAGAAACAAGACTAATGTTGGCAATTAATTCCAATTATAAAGGGTTGGTAATTAATAGATTGCATATAGAAAGGAAGTCTAGTCTAATGTTTTGCCATAAAAGTTGATCTGCAATGTCTGTAGTTGGCGCAAATCACACAAATAATTTCGCGACGTCTGGTAATCTATTCTCTATATGTAATATATAAAATTGCCATTGTTTAATTATTTCAATGTCAAAATAAAAAATATTGATTGGTCTGCAAGGGGAACACGCGAATGCAGAAATGCGTGGTACAAATTTTAACGCCCTAACAAAAACTCACCCGGAAATAATTGCGTCAATTACGACTCAATCGTCGCTACAAATTTATTTATTTCTTGATAAATTATATCTAGCTGCATTCAACTTTTATATACCCTAGATTTATTAAAAATGGTGGTATAAAGTTTATAATGCTTTTGCCCGAATTATTGAAACAAGCAGAAGGAAGCATTTCCAACCCCATAAAAATATATATATTTTAACTCAGCATCAATAGCCGAAGCGTTTGTCCGTACGTATAAACTGTTGAAGTACGAGTTGCAAAGAGATCGATAAAAATCGATATCGAAGTCCTGCATCTTGAGCATATCTCGGAGCTTATAAGAGCTAGAGACGCCAAATTTGGCATGTAGACTTCTCGTATAGTACACACAGATCTAAAATATTTTTCTATTTGGCAAACTCCTCCGTTCCCCCGAAATTGAAAACAAAAAACGCATTCGTTCCCAAAAACATGTAGAGATCTTACAATAAGCACCGAAGCAAACGCTTTTCCAATATTATGGGGCTAAGGGGAGCGCAGCACAGCCTTAGTGTAAGCTTCATCATTTATATACATCATTAAATAAAATTAACAATATTTTATTTCATTTTTCTTAATATATATACATACAACAAATGATGTCCAACAAATAGCATCAAGTTCTTATGCCTTTATTTCCTTCATCTTAGCATCAAAAAAGTCCCTCATCTGCAGCAAGCCCTCCCAGTTTTCGTTCCATCCGGGTGTTACGTTTTGGGCATTTTCGTACCACTTGGCAACATTGGGATAGTTCTTAAGGTCAAAGATCATTGTTACAAATGACGAAACGTTGGCCAGGATGGCAATATCCGCGATTGACAAATTGTTCCCAGCTACATACAGCTGACCTTCCAGGAAGGTGTTTAGGAAACCAAAGGCAGTCTCAATCTTTTTAAAGTCTTCTGGATCTCCTAGCTTCTTTAGTCGAAATATTGGCGAGTAATAATCGTAGAATGACTTGAACAGAACACCCATATCAAAGTAAAGTCGCTGATTAACTAGAGCCTGTTGCTTTGGATCCTTGGGATAGAGCGAATCGTCCTTGCCGTACTTCTCAGCCAGGTAAACAAGAATGGCGCGTGACTCCCACAACGCGAAGCCATTGTCCACGATCGTTGGAATCGTGCGCTGTGGATTAAGTTTAGCAAACTCTGGTTTCATTTGCTCACCCTCCATGACATTAAGTAATTTCTTGTTGAGCTCCACTCCCAAAGCCTTTGCCGTCATTATAACTGAACGGCAGGGGGCTGAACCGGGCATATAGTAGAAGTCCATGTCGAAATTGCGTGTTCTGCTCTTGAATAATGAGCGCTAACTGAATTTGAGTGTGTGGCTGCTACTCTCTTTATAGCAAAAGCACACAATTAATTATCTAATATTTCGTGCGGGAATATAAGTTTCATGCATATGTGTGCAACAGGCAGAAATCGAATCGATATAACCATTTCCGTCCGTATGTACGAATATGTCAATCTCAGCATTTATTAGGACTACGAACGAGTTTCTTTCAAATCATCGATAACTATCCCCATTTCCATAAAATCGATAAGGATCCATATCCAAATCCTGTTTTTGGAGCATATCTCGGAGCTTCTGACCGCTAGGGGCACTAAATTTGGTAGGTAGATGCTCGTATAGTATACACAGAAAGGGAATATTTCTCTTTTAGAAACCCACGTTTCCCACATAATTAAATGTTTCCCATTCATAGAGGTTTAGGCTTGGGCTTAGACATTTACACAGATTTAGATGTCGTACTTATGCCCTTAAATACCATAAAGATCGGACCATAAACACCGAGGCAAATCACGAAAGCATTTCCCATGTTGTGGGGCTATTGATTCTTTGTACGGATGTGTAAAAGGAAGCTAGAATGTTTGTGATGGCTGCTCGGCGCTCAGGGAATTCCCGACTAGAGCACACTTACTTGTTATCAAATAGAGATAGTCACTGTTACTTTCAGTCTTATATATGTGTGTATATCAAATCAAGTAGGAGTAACACACGTAGCATTATTTTATTGCAATCTATAAGTAGGAGAGAGCGAGACTGAGAAAGAGAGAGAGGAAGAGCAAGATAGAGAGAGAGAGATAAAGAGAGAGAGAGAGAAAGAGAGAGAGAGAGAGAGAAAATAGGGTAGATACCCTTCTTGATATGTAGTCATAAAAATGTATGTGTTTCACTTTCTTTAACTTATATATACACAAGTTTTATTTAAATAAATATAAATATAATGATAAATGTAAATAATATACATTTTTGAAGATTTAAGAGAAAATAAATTAAGCTTTTTGTTGCTTCATTTTAGCCTCGAACCATTCCTTCATCTGCATCAAGCCCTCCCAGTTTTCGTTCCATCCGGGCGTTACCTTCTGGGCATTTTCGTACCACTTGGCAACATTGGGATAGTTCTTAAGTTCAAAGTTCATTGCTACAAATGTCGAAACGGATGCTAGGATAGCGATGTCAGCGATTGTCAGGTTGCTGCCAGCCACATATTGCTGGCCTTCCAGGAAGGTGTCAAGCAAACTGAAGGCAGCCTCAACCTTTTTGTAGTCTTCTGGAGATCCGGGCTTGTTTAGCCGAAAGAGTGGCGAGTAATAATCAGAGAATGCCTTGAACAGCACTCCAATATCAAAGTATAGCCGTTGATTTACTATAGCCTGCTGCTTTGGATTCTTGGGATAGAGCGAGTCGTCCTTGCCGTACTTCTCAACCAGGTAGACAAGTATGGCGCGTGACTCCCACAACGCGAAGCCGTTATCCACGAGCGTTGGAATCGTGTGCTGTGGGTTGATCTTCAAAAACTCCGGTTTCAGCTGCTCACCCGCCATGACATTAAGTAATTTCTTGTTGAGCTCCACTCCCAAAGCCTTTGCCGTCATTATAACTGAACGGCAGGGGGCTGAACCGGGCATATAGTAAAAATCCATGTTGAAATTGCTTGCTCTGCTCTTGAATAATAAGTGCTGACTGACTTTGAATGTGTGGTCGCAACTCTTTTTATAGCAAAAGCCACAAACTATTATCTATCATTTCATGATTTTTATCAAATAATGTTTGTCACTGTTACTTTCAGTTCTATATGTTTATGCATAAAATCAAGTGGGAGTCATCGGTGCTATCTGTGTACTTAGAATTGATAATACGATTATATTGGCCAGCTCTTAGCTTTAGCATATACTTGATATGCATCAGCGAATTTGATTAAAAATGTCGCTCGGAAAGTACCACTTTTAAATTTTATAATCGTACATTTGTCATCAAGAGACTTAGAGATAGAGTTAGATGTAGAGATAGTGAGAGGGAGCTCAAAATAGAGAGAGAAAAAGAGAAACAGTCAAAATCTCACTTGAATTGATGAGAATCACATAGTAAGGCATACTGCATTAAAATTTGCATACAAACATGCATACAAGCATGCATACAAGCATGCATACATATATATGCAGACATGCACACAAACTTCTTTGTATGCATGCATATACATATATGCAAAAGTGTATACATACATGCTTGTATATGTGTATTTGAATGTGCATATGTACATATGAAAGTATGTACATATATATGTACGTATGTGTGCATGCATGTAGGTATCCGGACATGTATTCATACATGTACGCATGTACAAACAGGCATACATATAGATACAAACTTTAAACTTCGGCCAAAAAATCTTTGAATCGTATTTCCACCAAGGAGAGATAAATTTTCCAACAAGTGTGAAACACCCCCCAAGTAAATTTGAACAGAGATTTTTGAAAGTGAGTCGATCGGATGGTAGGCAAAAAGTTGCATACAAAAGCTATTCGCGTATTTTCCACACATGCGGGTGAAATTTCCCGAAACTCCGTCTTAACGTGAACCTTCATCACATAAGGTAACTACAATGAAAATTGCAGCTTCCTAGCTCTTACGGTATGGTCTGTGCGTTGATGACCAATCAGTCAGTCAGTCAGCACAAGCAGTTTTATATATAGAAATACAAAGGGGGGTACCAAGAATTATACGAATCAGGTTTGAAAATTGTAAGATAATTAATTTACCCGCTAACTCACATTCTCAAGTTTGGACTTGAATAGAAGTTTAGAAGTTATAGAGGATATTGCAAATATACCGGCACATGCTGTAACCAAATATGAAATAACAGATTTCAATATTCTTTTATTATAGGAAATTCTGGAAGTACCGCCCCATATACACCTTAACTAAAATAAAATACACGAATGAAGAGAAGTTAATGGGTAATTTTTCTCTCTGGAGGAAATAAATAAGCACCGCATAAAAAGCCGATATTGCACTTCAGAGCTTATCGCTCTTTCAGACCCCCTTTAAAATCGCTCGACCGTATATGTACATTTTAATAGCTGTTTGGCAATCATATAAATAAAAATGTACATATTTAGTTCAACTAGTTGTGTTATTTTTTATTTAAGAACACGTTTTTAATTATATTGTGATGTGTCATGGATTAAACTAAAGTAAATGTACGTATATTATAGTAGACATAAATATTTGTAAATTAAAGATGGTCACAATTTATTTCATGCCCTTTGATGCCATGCGCTCTTTCAGTATCTCCAAGCCGATTAGATTCTCATCCCAGCCAGGAGTCACTTTCTGTACATGCTCGTACCACTTGGCCACATTTGGATAGCTGCTCAGCGAGAAGCCAACCGTAACAACAGTCGAAACTGAGGCCAAAATGGAAATGTCGGCAATTGTCAGCCTTTTTCCGGCTACATATTGCTGACCTTCGAGGAAGGTGTTCAGGAGAGCAAAGGCAGACTCCACCTTTTTGAAATTCTCAGGGTCAGCTGGCTTGTTAAAGCGAAATTGGGGATAGTAATAATCGGCGAAGGCCTGGTACAGAACGCCCATGTCAAAGTATAGCCGCTGATTGACTAAAGCTCGCTGCTGGGGATCCTTGGGATAGAGCGAGTCGTCCTTGCCATATTTCTCAACCAGATACGCGAGAATGGCACGCGACTCCCAGATGGAGAAGCCATTGTCCACCAGCGTTGGAATCGTATGTTGCGGATTAAGCTTTAAGAACTCCGGCTTCAGTTGCTCCTGCTCGCCGGTGTTCAGCAACTTCTTGTTAAGTTTGACGCCCACTGCGGCAGCAGTCATTAGAACGGAACGGCAGGGCGCCGAGCCAGGTGAGTAATAAAAGTCCATTTTCACAATTTGGTGGGTCGTGTCTAGCGCTGTCAGAGTGTGAGCGACTACTGAATTCTGTTGGACGGGGCTAGGTATAATATAGTAAAAGCTTTTTTAGAGATAAAGCATGACGTGAGTGTCTCATTATCGCGCTCCATGTGGTCATTATCTTTGGGCTTTTGAAAATTGCTTGTCATTGGGTTTATACTATGTAAACATTCGTTGGGTATTAAAAGGCAATTCGAGCGATTTTATCGATCGTGGACACTCAAATTTCAAATTATTTCTAATTTTCATAGCTAAAATCAAGTTTGAAAATTGTTAGAAACTTTTCGTATTGACTCCTTACTTTATTTAGTTCATGACTATATAATATTTATACAAATACTTAATATGTGTTTCAATTGGTTGCATTTTCCTTTCGCTTGTCGTCAAGCCACTCTTTCATTACGTTTAAGCCTTCGTCCCAGCCGGGTGTTACCTTCTTAACTGCCTCGTACCATCTGGCCACATTGGCATATTTGCTGATATCAAAGTCTGCCACAACAAACGTGGACACGGTGGCCAGAATGGAAAAATCCGCGACAGTTAATTTATGGCCGGCAACAAATTGATGACCTTCTAGAAAGCAGTTGAGATAGTTAAATGATGTTTTCACCTTCTCAAACTGTGCAGGGTCTGCTGGCTTGTGCTGCAGAAACTGTGCGTAATAATAGTCGGCGAAACTTTGGCTCAGGCTGCCCATGTCGAAATATAAGCGCTGATTAACCAGCGCCTGTTCCTGCGGATCCTTGGGGTACAGCGAGTCATCCTTACCGTACTGCTCCACGAGGTAAACAAGAATGGCGCGCGACTCCCACACCGAGAAGCCATTGTCCACGAGCGTCGGGATCGTGTGCTGCGGGTTGATCTTCACAAACTCCGGTGATAGTTGCTCACCTGCCAAGGTGTTTAAAAGCTTCTTATTAAGTTCAACTTCCAGCGCCTTTGCCACCATAAGAACGGCACGACATGGCGCTGAGGCTGGCAAATAATAAAAGTCCATCTTGCCGGTGGGTATTCGGTCGTCTGTTTGCTGGGTAGGTGAAACGAACCGGCACTGAATTATTTCTGCTTGTACATAGATCAACGAACAGGTGTGTTACACACACATGTATGTGTATGTGTACTTGTATGTATATGTATTTGATAATATGATTCCTTAGTTATCGCCACTTATCATTATACAAATATAGGTGTAACTAACACAGCAGTATATATTTATATATATGTATCTGCATATATATACATCATGAGAATACAAGTTACAAACTACCTGTAGATATCCAAATTCTAAAGACTTTACAAAATAACCTTTCTCACGTCCCAGCTACCCAACTGTACATCTACAACAATTTAAGTACATAATATATATATACATATCAAACTATATGCATACATATATAAATTTATCTAAGTATTCAAATGAGGCAAGTAAGAATGCTCTAGAGTAGCTTGCTCAACTAAAACACACCCTGTAAGTTAATCTCAAGGTTTCTGCTTTTCTCTTTATATACATTCTCCTTATATACACTTATATACATTGAAATTGTCAGAATAGAGCTTAATTGAATATACCCTATTCGTTTTATAAACTTTTTTAACGTGTGAGCGGAGTATACATGTATTTCTCGAACTTTTCTTTTATTGTGAAATTGTTAAGAAATTGTCAGTGCTTAAATTTCTATCACCATGAGTATGTTTGCCTCCTCTGCCAATTTCATATCTACAGGGTGTGAATACCAATTCAAACTGTTTTACGCTGACTCTTTTGAAAAATCTCTTTATTTCTAGCTTCTCTTCGGTTGTCAATGCTCTTTGTTCACATAGGGATCTGTTTGCTGGTGGGGCGTATGACGCACACGTCGTCAATGTAGGCAAACTGGTTCTCTGGGCAGCTGAATTGTGTTCATAGCATAGACGCCGCGACCTTTCTCTATATTTTCGACTCCTCGTCATCTCCGAGCGCCCGTAAAACCCAAACCACTTGTTTGGTGGCTTCTTTTGTTTAGGTTTTTCATTGAATCTTTAAATTATGTGCAAATGAGTAAGCTGCCGGTGTCTTCTTCTTCTACATTTGGAGCCTGTGGGGTTTTCTGAATGCTTCGAATATTCTGGTGGAGAAGTGACTAAACTAACGCTCTCAACTGCTAATACTCAGTCGTTCGCTCTTTTATGCTGACGCATCGCCAACTTGTATACCCTTTGCTTATTCAAAATGGATAAAAAAGAGTATGATGGTTTTATGTTCATGACAGAAGGAAGCTTTTCGTACTTTATTTACTATATACATATATTCTCAATTAGAATCTTGCGCTTTGGCTTATGCACACATTTGGCTGTCATTTTTAAATCCTAAATATTTCATAGGGTCGGACTATACATACCAATGTTATTCGCTAAGCACAGGGTATCTCCGAGGTCGGGCAGTCCCAAATAGTGTACTTTTACTTGTTGTTGTTTTTCGCTTGAGGTATTCCTGACGTGTACTCCACAGAGCCGGCAAATGCTCGCGTTGTTTATAATAAATTTTTTGCAATGTCATGCTTATAATAAACTTTACAAATTGTGAAACTGATAAAAACTACAAAATGTTTGGAACAGTCCGTGATGCTCATGGAATATTCGAGTCGTATGTGCAAATGATATGACAAGTCACAAATGAACTTCCGAATTTCATCATTTACATACATATTTACTTTTAATAGAACATTCCACGCTATTGTAGTTCAATGTTTATTTAATTACTGAATAACTAGCCTAAGTATAAAGTATAAGTAAGTATAAAGCTAGCCACCGTCTGATGTTTTATTTATAATAATATATGTACCTAGTTAGTTTTTATATTTAGTGCAAGCAATGTGTTATAGCATAAAGAAATATGTACTCATCCATTGATATTGTTTGTACCTTTTGATATGACATATTTGACCACAAGACTGACTTCTAAAGTGACCTCAAAGGTCATTAAGATAATGATAAGATAATTAAATAGAGTTTATACATGCGAATCTATAATTATGTATGTATGTATGCTTTATAACAACTTTGCGTGACTTTACTTACAATGTTTACTGTGTGAGAGTATCTTTTGTATTCCCTAGTTAATGCACATTTACATAGGTAGTATTGCAATTAGCCCCAGTAATCACCATTAGCAAAGTTAGCTTTGGTCACCATTAATGGAAAGTCAATAAATTTTAGGTAAACATACATACATACAAGCGATGCAGATATTGGTGTACCTATATATTTTAGTTGCCTTTTTTGGAAAAGCTTTTATTCCTAATCGTTTTCATGTTAAAGGCGTGGGCAACTGACCGTCACAGGGTGTTATACTATTTATGCATACATATACATATGTATGTATATACATACATATGCATACATATATGTATATATGTCAGTCCATGTACAATTTGATACGTTCAAGGCTAATGGTAAATGTACTATTATTATAGTTCACAATAATTGTATGCCCACAATTCTTATCGATAAATGCATTGCTACCAAAATATGTTGGTATGCACAACACGCTTATGTGTGTATGTACATACATATGTATATACATTTATGCTGGATATACACATTTGTATCGATGTACTTGTAAATATTTGTGCTGGTTTCGACAAACAAGCTGCTGTGATTATTTTCAAATATAATCTCAAGTGCATTAAGTTCGATTCGACAGCTGGCACAAGTCGCAAAGAATTCACACAAATGCCATAAACAAAAAAGGTTTATAGTGTACGTAATTGAATATAATATTGATTATATTATATGCACACCCATATGTATAGCACATACACAGGCACAGAAACATATACATATGGATGTACATATGTATAATTGGATAGTAGGGAATTTTAGCAAGAGAGACAAACAAATATGCGAATAAATTTGCAAACAAAAAGGCGGCAAAAAGAATGCTTTTGCTGAGAGCACCAAAGAGAGCAGCCAAATGATTCCTCTAAAAATTGAGGCGATCCGCAATGTGGTGCAACAAGTTCATTAGAAAGTTGCCGCTTTCTGTGGCTCCACATACAAGTGAAGGGTATGTGCTGCATATATGTACATATGTATATTCACTATTTGGTTATGAAGTTACAATTTTGACTATTTTCATATGCAAGTACATACACACATACATATGTATGCATGTTTGGATATCTGCTACATATTCAACTCTTTATAAATTTGTTTTATAGCTTTGATACGTACATACATACAAGCAGAGACACACACACACATAAATACAAATACAACAAATACGCGAAAGCAACGGCAAACACGCGAAAACAACTCACGCTCTTTATGGCAGCTTACTTTGTATATACCCTCTACTATATACATAAGCGTGTGTGTATTTATGTACTGTGCTCCCCGCGAACAGCAGATACCTATGTTCATATTTGTTTGCCGGTTTTATAGCGGCCGGTCGCCTGCTGCTCGCTCGCATTTTGTGTTACAGCGGGGGTCTATAAAAGCGGAACGTCTCTTCAGAGTCCCAACAGTGTTGCTTGATACTTGGTACAGTGTGCGCCGCGTGTTTTCTACAATCCCAAAAGTAAGTGTCTACGTGTTAAATATGTATTAATCTGTGTATTTGTGTCTGTGTGTCGTCCAAGAATGTGGAAAAAAAACAAAAAAAAGAATTACCAAAACTCAATTGTTAAGGCAAAAGCCACAAGTTATGTCTATAGGACTACGAATCTCGCGATATTAAATATAATTATGGACCTAAATTCTTTTTTTGTGTTTTCGCTCAATTATGGATCGCAACTAATGGTCGTTTGTCTTGTGTGCCCTTCTAATTATAGTAAAAAATGGTTGACTTCTACTATTTGCCCGGCTCCTCGCCCTGCCGCTCCGTCATCATGTTGGCCAAGGCTGTTGGTGTTGAGTTGAACAAGAAGCTGCTGAACCTGCAGGCCGGCGAGCATCTGAAGCCCGAGTTTTTGAAGATCAATCCCCAGCACACTATTCCCACTCTGGTGGACAATGGCTTTGCACTGTGGGAGTCGCGTGCCATTCTGGTCTACCTGGTGGAGAAGTACGGCAAGACCGACTCCCTGTACCCCAAGTGCCCCAAGAAGCGCGCCGTCATCAATCAGAGGCTGTACTTCGACATGGGCACCCTGTACCAGAGCTTTGCCAACTACTACTATCCCCAGGTGTTCGCCAAGGCGCCTGCCGATCCTGAGGCCTTCAAGAAGATCGAGGCCGCCTTCGAATTCCTAAACACTTTCCTGGAGGGTCAGACCTATGCCGCTGGTGACTCACTCACCGTGGCCGACATTGCCCTGGTGGCCAGCGTGTCCACCTTCGAGGTGGCTGGCTTTGACATCAGCAAGTACGCCAACGTGAACAAGTGGTACGAGAACCTAAAGAAGGTGACTCCCGGCTGGGATGAGAACTGGGCCGGCTGCCAGGAATTCAAGAAATACTTCGAATAAGCTTAATACATATGCGAGTATTATATTTTATGTAATAATTTATTCATACTTATTCACAAAACGATTTGAAATCGTCTAATGTTGTGTGCAAATTTGTATCAAGCGCGAGTTTGATGCGAATGCATTTTTTGCTTATAATAAAAGAGTATTCATTTTTACTGAGTACAATTTAAGAGACAAACAACTTTTTGTATATATACTGGGAAAACTTTTTTAACGGACATTCTTATTGGCTCTTATCTCAAACCATATTTTCGTAATACATACATATGTACAATTTATGAGTTAGGGCACTCCCATTAGGCGGACACTCTTGGGCGGACAAAAATTGTCCGACAGTACCTGTCCGCCCACGAGCGGTTTCACTGTACATACATGTATGCATGGTGAGCTTAGTCGATATGGTGTACCCATAATTTATAATAGTACATGGTTGGATGAATAAATTGCCCAGAGAGCTGGCAATTGTATAACGAGCTCTTACATAGAGAGTGTGTATGTGTGTGTGGGTAATAAATATGTGTATGTAAGTTCTCGCTCTCTCTTTGAGTCCGCATTTGTTTTAGCAAAGTGTACTATAACGGTTGCTCTCTTTCTGTTACTCTCTCTATGCATGCCGGGCCCTATCACAATATCTCACATCAGTTTCAAAAAGTGCATGCACTAAACAGGAAGCTCGCAATTGCAATCAAAGAGTAGGTAAAAAAATAAATTTGCGTTTTAATGTGGGCCAGAGAGTAATAGAGAACAGTTTTTTGATGTGTGCCGCACATTTAATATTCTTAAATCACATTTTGTTTTACATTACATTACAAATATTGAAAAGATTCTTATAAAATATAAATTGCGAATTACAAAACGAATTTCAGTTATTCAATTCGTTATAGCCGACTATATAAGGACAACAGCACGTCAAACCGGCATTGCCAAGTTTATCAAACTTAAGATTCAAATCAGAAATTCGAATCATATCGTTCGTAATTTATCAAATGTAACTTAATATATAAAAATCGGATACTTCTTAATTTTAGTTAATATGCTGGACTTTTACTATATGCTCTACTCGGCGCCCTGCCGCTCGATTCTGATGTTGGCGCAGGCTTTGGGTGTGGAGCTGAACAGGAGGCAGGTGGACCTGGATGCGGGTGATCATTTGAAGCCAGAGTTTGTTAAGATTAATCCTCAACACACGATTCCCACGCTGGTTGATGGCGACTTTGCCTTGTGGGAATCACGTGCCATCTTGCTGTATCTGGTGGAAAAGTACGGCAAGGATGATGCACTGTATCCAAAGGATCCTAAGCAGAGAGCCTTGATCAATCATCGCTTGTTCTTCGATTTGGGCACATTGTATCAGAGCTATGTCTATTATTACTATCCGCAACTGTTTGAGGATGTTAAGAAGCCGGCTGATCCCGAGAACCTCAAGAGGATCGATGCTGCGTTCGCTGCCTTCAACACTCTGCTCGAGGGCCAGAAGTATGCGGCTGCTGATAGGCTTACTGTGGCTGATTTTGCGCTCTTGGCCACCGTTTCCACTTTCGATGTGACCGGATACGACTTTGGCATGTACACCAATGTGACCAATTGGTATGAGAACGCCAAGAAAGAGGTGCCCGGCTGGGAGGAAAACTGGGAGGGCTGCTTGTACTACAAGAAATTGTATTTATCGCAGCTATAGGGATTAATCATTGATATTATATATGATATTCAAGGCATATTATTAAAACTATTGTTGCCATGTACGCTTTATCTAAAATCGAAAAGAGTCAACGACTCTAAATATGTACACCTCATCTTATCAGTGAGGTAAAAGTCATTTTGTCACTTTTTAACTGTGTTTACGAGTAGTCAGTTGGGGGTACTGATAACGCTGAGTATCTAAGAATACACTTGCGATAAGATACCAAATACTTATGTACAGCTCGCAACCAACAGCTGAGATTGCGTGAATGTGTATAATATGGGGTAAAACGGCAACATTTATTTTATAACAAAATAATTTTAGTTGAAATCTTTGGAAATAATTGACGCTAATTGCAGGGTTTGTTGGAAAGGGGGGGATGGGGGTTTCTTTTGTGAGCATTGAGCTTAGCTCAAAGAGAAGCGAATGGTTGCTTTAATACAGCTCTCTTTGGCGGATCAAAAAACAATAATTTTGTTAATTAACACCTGGCCTGTGGCATTTGTATGCTGGCTCTATATAAAATTGACTTTAAGCGCAGATCTTAGCTCAGTTGCCCAAAAGCGCTTTGTTAGAAAAACAGCCCAGCGAGAAGCCCCGAAAACAGGTGAATACTCCATAAAAGTTGTATTTTATATTTAGATATTTGTGTTGTCATCCGAAGAAAGTGAAGCTCTCGAAATGCTTGCGACGCTTGGCTGGTTTTCTTTGTCCGTTTGTTAGATTATATTTAGTCGCTCTGTGACAGCTTTTGATGAATTTGAATGTTGGTTTTTTGATTAGGCCCCAATAGCATTATGGACTTCTACTATCGACCCGGATCTGCGCCCTGCCGTGCGGTCATTATGACGGCCAAGGCAATTGGCATTGAGTTTAATAATTTGATTCTTATCAACACACGCGCCGGTGACCAATTCAAGCCGGAGTACCTGAAAATTAATCCACAGCACTCGATACCCACCCTGGTGGACAATGGCCTCTCGCTGTGGGAATCGCGTGCCATAATGGTGTACTTGGTAGAGCAGTATGGCAAGGATGACACCCTGTATCCCAAGGACATACAAAAGCGGGCGCTTATCAATCAGCTCTTGTACTTCGATATGGGCACACTGTACAAGAGCTTTGCGGATTACTACTATCCGCAGATCTTCCAGAAGCGAGCGCCCAATGAGGAATGCTACAAGAAGATTGAGCCTGCTTTTGAGCTGTTCAATACCTTTCTGGAGGGCCAAAGCTATGCGGCTGGCGATAATCTAACTCTGGCGGATATATCAATCTTGGCCAGCGTCTCCTCCTTCGATGTGGCTGGCTACGACTTTAAGCGTTACGGCAATGTGGCCAAGTGGTACGAACAGGCCAAGCTGGTTACACCCGGCTGGGATGTCAACTGGGCGGGTTGCCTGGAATTTCGCAAATACTTTGATAGCTAGATCCTCGGATCCATGCTGTGCCTAATGTTTCAAATAAAGAAAGCTTCATTTATTGCACTTGGTTCTTATCAGTGAGGAGGAGCTACTAAACACTAAACATTGCACTTGGTTCACTTAACAGCTAAAACAGGGAGTTCGACTTGCTGAACTCGAGGGGACGTCGAAAGGACTGCTCCAAATTGTGCAGCCGCTGCTCCAGATCGTTCATCGAGTTGCGCAGCGCGTGTCCACGTGGACGTAGCGAGATTTGCGGCGAGTGCTGCATGAGGTCGTCCTTGACGCCCGAGAACGAGTGCCGCACGCAGGAGGAGCGCTTCTCGAACTTGGTGTTCTGATAATGTGGATGCTGGTGCTGATGCAGATGCTGATGCGCACGATGCTCGCAGCTGCCGTTGCGGCAATTGTGCGCCACCAGCGGCTCATCCGTTTTCAGTGAATCCTCGTAGGTATCACTGGAATGGAAGCAAGTGTAGCTAATTGAGTTGAGCTGTTGGTCTGGCTGAATGCCACCTACCTGCTGTCCGTGTGGGGCTGCTGGCGGAGCTCCAAGTGAGCCTTGGCGTGCCTGGGACAAAGCAGCTCCGCATTGCTGACCCGCTTGGAGCCGCTGTGCTGAAAGGAGTCGGGCGAGGTTTCGTACAGCTCGCGGCTGCTGAGAAACTCCACGCCCGAGTCCTGGCCAGTGGAGTGCAGCGAGAACAGCGACGTTTCATAGTTATTGCTAAAAGAAGTCGTTTTAACCACGGTTGGCTTTAACCCAAGTAGGACTTACAGATTGTTGACTGGCTGACAGGAGTTGTATTTAAGCACAAATGGGGCATTGCCATCGGCGGCTGCAGTAGCTGCCGCTGCGGCCGCCGCCTTGGCCGCAATGGACTTGGGCAGCGGCACGTCAATATATTCTCGCTGGCACTGCTGCTGCTGCTGCTGTCTGGAATCGGAGGCATTTGGCTTAATTTGGAACCAGTTTTTGGTGCCTGCTACTCACTCGTTCAGGTACTGATGATGCTGCTGCTGTGTGACCAGCGCCTGCTGCTGGTGATGGTGATGCAACTGCTGTTCCAGTTTCTCTGTGGCCGCTGCCGTCGACTGCGTTTGCGCCGAGGAGCACACCGACTCGTTCAAGAAGCCGCTCGTCGGACGCTGCTGTCCGATTATGTTGCTGCCGCTGCCCTTGCTGCAGCGCTGCGTGTGCCGCTGCTGGCGCTGACGCTGGCGTCTCTGCTGCGACCGGGACTGGTTGACGCCGGCTATGGTATAGGCCAGACCGGCTTCCGAGGCGGCAAAGTCGCGCTGTGACCAGAGCTGACTGCAAGCAGATGGAAGAGTATATGATCAGATTTACCGAGTGGCTTTGACATTCACATTCACATTCACATTTGAGTGTCAGTTGTCAACAGTTCTGGAGAAGCTTAGCTTAATTGCCAGCTGTTTGGGCTGCAGTTGCAGTTGTTGGTGTTGTTTGTGTTTTTGTTGTGCGTTGAGATTTTTTTTTACAGTTAGAATTCCAACGGTCAGGTGATCGGCAGCTACAGCCGGTTTTCCAGAGCACAACCAACAACCAACAACCAACAACAACAACTAAGTCATTTGATCAGCACTTAAAGAGATTTATTAGACGGCCTTAGACTAAGCATGTATATATGTATATGTATATGTATGTGTTTGTATGTTTATATCTATGGATAGCACAAATGCATCTATGAGCTACATTAAAGCGCCCGTTTGGCAGTCTTTCTGTTGCAGTTTTTTATGTATTTTTTTTGTTTTTTACCGTTTCTGGCGCATGCACAGGTAACAACAGGCAGCTATAAGTGCGCCCAGGCTAACCAGCGCCAGCAGCACCAAAGTCACCAACTCCAGGCCGCCCATAAAGCTCGAGGCGGAGGCGTGAGTGGAACGCGGCGCCTGCCCAAACTCGGCCAATTCGATGATGCGCGGCATTGTCTTGCTGCTGTCCACTTGCTGATGCTGAAGCTGCTGCAGCTGCAGCGCATCCAGTTGCAGTCCGGCCAGAGACCTGTAAAATCGGGGAAATTAATCATCTTCGGATTCCAGCCGGTTGAGTGGGCGTTAATGCTTACTCTTGCAGCTGCTCCATTTCCACAATGGAATTGGTATGTGGATCGACGGCGTAGATGTAGGCATTGGTGCTGTGCATAGGGATATATAGAGATATAGATTAATGTTAACCTTATAAAAAAGAGTTTGATTTTCTTTTTAATATTTCCTTAGATCCTGAGGATTTTCTCAGTTTAATAATATATTTCCAAGCCGATGTTATGGTATAAAGAAGACTAGATATCATCTAAGAAAAACATTAAGAAGTCATATCTATCTGAGAAAAGCGGAGAAGACATTGACATCAATTCTTAACCGATCAGAGCTATGTGTGTGATATAATTGTTTGGTTAAGAAACATTGCAAAACAAAACTAAAAAATGTTTCATAGAAGAGCTGTATTTATGATCAATCCAACGGGAGCTATAAAATAAAGTTTTCTTATGTTGTGCAGACATCTTGAAACCCGCAAAAAGTTTGATTGAGCAGTTCCTATGAGTTCCTATGACAGCTTCTTATAAGATATACTGTAAGACCCCGTCATTTACAATAGCTGAACAAGAATTTATGGATTTATGGAATTCAAGGATTTCACCATAAGTGGAAGAATATAAAATTGCTTGTTAATTCAACTTACGCCACTTCGGTTCCTCCAGAATTGGGTTCCAGCAGCCGGACGCGCACATCCTTGCCAATGGCAGAGCTGAGCGCATCCATAAGGCTGTCTATGCGACGCTCGACATCCACGGGCATGCCGGCGACCACGAGACGCACCTGCTTGGCCTCGTCTATGATGTACACGAAGACATTGACAATGCCGCTGCGACCGTCATCGGCACCGATGCGATCGGTGGCCTTCACATCGAAGCCGTAGATGCGCTCGTCCAGGGGCAGGTCGCCCAGCAAGCGTATGTTGCCCGTTAGGTCATCGATGCCGAAGAGTCGGGTGGGCTCGTTCAGCAGACGATAGCGAATCTCCGCATTGAGGCCCTCGTCGGCGTCCGTGGCTGTGACGCGGGTCACGTGGTAGCCGAAACTGGCGCTGCGGGGCAGCACGGCGACAATTGGCTGCCCGTTGCCACGGAACTTGGGTGAATTATCGTTTTCGTCTGCGATGCGCACCACAATGCGGCACTCACTGGGCGAGAGGCCCTCGACGCGCTCATCGACCACCGGATAGGATACCTTGGCGTAGTTGCGTGCTCCTCGACTCAGTCGATCGGCGCGTACCCGGAGCTGATAGCGTGCGATGTGCTCCCGATCAAAGGGCTTGAGGGCGTAAAGCAGCATATTCTTGGCATCGTATTCGAACGGTGGATGCGCATCGGACTCGTCCAGGCCCTCCTCCAGCCACAGGGACCAGCGATAGTTTTCGGCATTCAAGCCGGCCGTCAGGTTCAGACGCATTACCTCAATGGGCGCCTCATTGTTCTCCGTCAGCTGCACATCGTAGTACGGATGCTGGAATATGGTCACATTGATCGGAATCTCCGGCTTAGGTGGCGGCGTTGGCTCAGTAACCGCCTGGCCCTGCAAATTGATGAGCACCACGGCGGTGGCCGAGAGCGCTGGACTGCCCAGATCGGAGGCAATAACAGATACATTGAGGTGCTCATAATCGTTGTAGCCCCGTATATTGGACACCGTGGTAATGGTGCCGTCGCGGGAATCTATCTGAAAGACGGGCGCATGCAGCTCCTGATGCAATATGGAGTAGAGCACCAGTCCATTGCCATTGCCCACATAATCCTTGTCGATGGCATTCACCTGCTTCACAAACATGCCCGGCAGCGTGCTCCGGTCCAGATACGCCTTATAGACAGGCACCATCATAGTGCGATCTGCCAGATCAGCTATATACTTGATCGCCTTGGTCTGATCGTCGTAGCCAATGAACTCGGGCCGGTTGTCATTGATATCCATCACATTCACCTCGACATCGACGCTACTCGACAGACGCTGCATTGGCTCCGCATTGTCGCTGGCTATCACCTGGAAATTGTACTTGGCGCGCAGTTCCCGATCCAGCTGGCCGTTGATCTTCAGCACGCCCGAGGCGGGCTTCACTGTGAACGGCAGCTGCAGGTCACTTAGGGAATACGTTATGTTCGCATTCTCGCCGTAGTCCATGTCAATGGCCAGCACCTGGCCCAGCACACTGTCCTTGTAGTCGCCCTCGGGTGTGTCAAAACTGTACCAGGACTTTTTGAAGGCCGGCACATGGTTGTTCACATCGATGACCGTGAAGCGCATGCAGGTGGTATCCTTGAGGCCGTCGATATCGGTTACGCTGAGATTCAGCCAGATCTCAATGTTGGCCGCCAGCGGATAGTTGACGGTCAGCTCGCCGCTCAGCTTGTCTATGGCAAAGTGGCGTACGGTGTGCAGCTTGATCATGGGCATGCCCGGTGAGCGTTCCACCTGCTCGCCGTATAGCTCATAGTGCAGCTGGGCATTCCTGCCGAAGTCTTCATCGCTGGCGCTCAGCTGCAGGAGCTTGGCGCCCACCGGCGTGTCCTCATAAATGGCAAACAAGGGGCATTTAACTGGAATCGCGCGTGCCACACGGCGTCGAGATTTGGCGCGACCCACAACGCCAGCGCCAGCGACGGATCCAACCGCGCTGCCCTTCTCCCTCTCCATATGCAGTCTAGGGGAGCCGGGTATGTGATAGGCGGGTGGCGCCATCATCATGCCATTGGCGCCAGCAGGCGGCAGGACCATGCCATGCGAGCTCTCCACAAAATAGATCTCCATATCCGTATTGTATTCGCGAATTTCCAGACGCGAATCCTTGAACACGGAAATGCGCTCAAACATCGGTCCATTATCATTGACATCCGCCACGAGAATCGTGAGATGCGCATAGCCCGAAAGGCCGCCAGTGTCCGCGGCCACGATCTTCAGATTGTAGAGCTGTTGTTTCTCCCTGTCCAGGCCGCGCTTGCCGGTATAGCTAATCCGGAAGTAGGGACCGGTGCTGAGCTTGAA